TTGTTCCTGTCACAAGAAAAAGGCTTCAAGCTAAAGCAACCTTTTTATAGAAGATTTAAGATGATATAAAACTTCACAAATAGTATTCCGGTTTTCAAAAACAATTCTGAAACCAAGAAGCACATTCTAGATAATCTCTCATTGATGGCTGTGAGTGATCAAATCTTATTAGTATATGAAAGCCAATGCTAATAATTAATGGTTTACCTCTATACAACTATGACCAATCTCCCTTGTTAGCTTTCTCGCCATACCAGTTTCTCTAATTTGCAAAGAGGTTTCAAATTCCCCTAGTTCAGAATAAAAATTGGATGCTTGCAAATAAACAGCAAAATTGTCTGGTTCAAGCTCCATCAAGACTTTTGCTGCTCTTTTTCCCACCACTTCTTTCCTATGGACCCTACAACTTCTTAGCAACGAGCTCCACATGACAGAACCACCCCTTCCAGAGGCTTGCTGCAGCAATTCTTCAGCTTCATTGAGTAGACCTGCACGGCCCAAAAGATCTACCATACAAGAATAATGCTGCCGTTCTGGGTACACACCATACACAGATTTCATTAAGTTAAACACCATTTTTCCTTCTTCAACTAGCCCTGAATGGTTGCACCCGTTTAGTGCACACAAGAATGTCACTTTATCAGGAATAAGATCCTTTTGGATCATTGATTCTAACATATTGACAGCTTCTCTACCCATTCCATTTCTGGCAAATCCATTGATGATAGCAGTAAAGCAGACAACATTTGGCAAAGGAAGTTCCTCGAAAACCTTGGCAGAAAGTTCAACATGACCGCATCTTGAATAACAATCTATTAGAGAACATGAAACTGCAAAATCAGAATCAAGACCTGATTTTACTGCAAAACAGTGTAGCAATCTGCAGCTGGGCAAGCTTGCAAAGCCAGGAACTGACAATGCTTTCAGTGTTATGGAAAGAGTAACCTCGTCAGGCCCAATTCCTTCATCAACCATTAACCCAAACATCTCAAGAACATCTTCAATGATGCCACAGTGCAATAAGGATGTCATTAATGAATTACAACACTCCAAATTTCTCTCAGGACTACTCTCGTAAATGGAAACTGAACTCTCAATGTCACTGCATTTCCCATACATATTGATCAGAGCAGACTGAATATGGACATCCTCGTGATAAAAGCCAATTTTAATAACAAAACAGTGAATCTGCCTCCCAAATAGAAGATACCCTCTCCCACTAGAACAATTTAAGAACCCAAGAAAAGAACGAACTGATGGTCTTTTCCCCCAATACTGCATCATTCTAAACAATTCAAGAGCATCAAACAATAAGCCATTGTCAGCACATAGTGAGACAATTGAATTCCACGATATCACATCCTCCATTGAAATAGCTACAAATGATTCTCTTGCATCATTTACGCTCCTACAAGCAGAGTAAAAATCCACCAGAGCATTGGCAACAAAAACATTAGACTCTGTCCATCCAACCTTAATCACATGGGCATGAAGCTGCTTTCCTTCCCTGGAAAATTTCTCATCACAGCAACTGCGAATCAAATAGAAGAAACTAAGCCCATTTGGCTCCAAACGCTGCAACTTCATTTTATGATACAATCCAAACACTTCATCTGCTTTACCCAGTTCACAAAACCCACGTAATACCAAATTCCATGTTGCTAAATTTCGTTCAGGCAATTCATTGAACAACTTCAAAGCTACATCATCAAGTCCCATATGCATATAAAGATCAACAAGTGAACTCCCAATATACAAATTCAACTCAAACCCAAGTAAAATCACCCTGCAATGAACTTGAATTCCTTCTCTATGAAACCCTGCACCGCTACAAATACTAACAACAGAACAAAATGTATATGCACTTTCTCTGAATCCTTGCAAAACCATGTCACTATAATGATGTAGAGCCTGTTTTGGGTGCCCACATCGACCATACCCAGAAATCAACAAGTTATATGTAACAGCATCCCGTATAGACATTTCGTTGAACACCTTCTGGGCATCATTTAAGCACCCAGATTTGATCAAATCGCCAATTTTTCTGTTTTCAAAGTAAATACCCGGATGAGGCCTGTGTACAGAGTGTGAGTCTGATAGCAAAGAAGAAACCGATGATGCAAAAGACCTGCACTTCTGTGTCAAGGTTGTCCCTTTACGGACAAACGACAAAAGATCTGCTCTTTGCATCAATGTCCAAGGGCCCTAGATATCTCCAGAGGGTAATTAACCCATAAATAACGCCAATTGCATCCCTAACTTCATTTTTTAGCCAAATTTCTCCTACAACTTCTTAATCGTTACAAGAAGGTTCCTTTATGAAGCCTTAATGTCTAATTTTACTCTGGGTTTTTTTAAGACATAGGTTAAAAAATAATTAATATAAAATTTTATCATTAAGTTATATAGAAAGAATAAAATTTGACTTAATTTTAATAATTAATCAATTAAATTAAGACAAATAAAACTAATATCAACTTTTTTTTTATTTTTCTATATAAATTAATGACTAAAAGATATATTAATTACACCTTTAATCTGTACCCCTAAAAAAAATTCTTTTACTTTGTACATCGGCAAAGAATCAATAAATATGAATTCCTTAAAAAATGGAAGGAATACATATTTCTTATTTATCCTTTAATTTAATAAAAATTATTAATATTAAGATTTAGCAAAAGGTAAAAAGGAATTTGCAGAAGTAAAGAAACTTGGGAACATCAAACATCCAAATTTAGTTCCTCTTCTTGCTTACTACTGGGGCTCCTGGGAGCATTAAAAGCTAATCATATCAAATTTAATAAATGCAAAATGTTTGACCCCTTATCTTCAAGGTAAAATCCTGTCTTTTGTGATCCTGGCTTACAAGTCTTCATGCTCAAAAGTTGAAACCACTGATCTGTTACAATTTGATTGTTGCATCATTAATTAGATGATGCATGCATGACTATGAAAACAAGGCCTTACCAATAATATTTTATAGGCTTCACTTCTTTTCGAGTTATGTGGTTGTGTGGTTCACACTATGAGTGCCTGTAGACTCCTCTTAGAATTGTCACTGTTTTCTTGACTCATAGACTGTACTTGCAGTAAACTAGTCAAGAAAGATATGAGGATAGACTATCCTCTTTTTTTTTTGGCCCTTTAGTGTTTATTTTGATAAAAATTAGTAAAGGAAAAAGAAAGAATGAAAAGGAAAAAAAGAGAAAGAGAAGCACAAAAAATAATGTTCATTTTAATTAAAGAGTCCGTCTAACTTATAGATTTTAACATATGTTCTTAAACACAAATTAAAATTCATTAATTAGTGTTTTTTAATTAATTTTATATAAATTTTCATATCAAATTCATAATTTTTTATAAATTTTGAGATAAAATATTATATTATATTAAATTTGAGATAAAATATTATATTATATTTAAATCTTATATAAAAATTTATGTAAAATTAATTACATATTATATAATAAATAAAGCTTAACATGTATCTTAAGAATACAAATTAAAAAATTTCTTATTTAAATAGACAAAAGTAAAGAGGAGAAAGGTATAATAATTTTATATAATTAAATAATTTTAAATAAAATAAAAAATTTAAAATTTACCAATTAAAAAAATAATTAAAATTCTTGGAAACGCACTTGCGTCTGCGGAGAAAACTTAACAGGAAGCCTCGATAGAATGTCGACGACGACATCAAAGCAGAGGGCCGCCTGTCGAACCCATGATCTCCTACATTTTTATCTTCCCAGGATTTCTCCAAGTTAAATTCTCTCCTTCTACAACCATTTAAACTTTTCAAAATTCACCATTTAAAGTTTTTTTAAAGTTAAAATTTTTTTTAAAAAATATAAGTTTTAAAAAAACAAATTTAACTTATGAAATATAAACAATATAAAAAAATAAAACACTTACAAGTTTCACCAAATATGCTTATAACATTTATTCTTTTATATAAAAAATAGATCATATTAGTTTCCATCTCCGTATCGGCAAAAATCCATCAATTTATGAACAACATTTAATCCATCAACTGGTTTTAAAAAACCTCTATTTATGTATTGAATCTGTAATGGACGTCATATTCTTTCACTTAACAATGATTATGCCAAGAAAACAGCAAGTCTCAAACAATCCAACACAGAACTAAGGCATTGATTTTGATTCTGTTAAGCACAACAATTTAAGTTTCATTTGTCTGACTTAATAGTATCACAGCTCATGATGAGAAAAAACTACTAAACAGCAACAAGCAGTCATGCAATGATTTAACACTCGTGCATGAAACATAGTAAAGCATAGGGGATGCCACTACAGGTAGCTCCAGAAACTTCCTCAGCTAGTCTCAGATTTCTCCAAAGCTGCAAAAAAAGAAGCGAGTTAGTAGAAACAGAAAAGGAACATTAAGCAGCAGTTGCAAAATGAACATGTAATGATATATATAGATGGAGAAAGGGGAAGGATGGAGGGAGGTACTGTTGTAGTTCAGAAGCTTCTCAATAAGGTCAACATGTGTCATAAGCATTCGTCTACAGCAATACCGGACCAAGCCCAAAGCATCAAGAGCATCTCTGCAAGCCAAGTAATTGCAAGTTATCCACTGCAAAATAACACTCAACATTCTAATCCACATGTTCATGCTGGGCCCTATGTTGTTACCATAAATAGTGATAAAAAGATCAAAATTTATACATTTGTTTTATTACATCTATTAAGATGTAAATTTGTAGATGATAAAATATTACCAGTTTACTACATACAGGCTTGGGAGGCAATTGCACAGATAAATTCGCCTGTTTTCCTACTTCCTACTGAGTAGAGATGCATGAGCAACCACATCTCCATCAACGCTAAACAATAGTCACTATTGATCAAAAAGAATGTGTCATAATTTGAAACATCTCATTTTCCCTCACTTCCTCTCCAAGTCTTCCTACATCCTTGATTACTATTTTCTACAAAATTTCAATTTTTTGAAAACAGATTTTCCATTGCTTTGTTTACAGTAAGACGGTAAGTCAACTAGCATGTCAGCAACTTCCATTCAACAAATGAAATATGATACCTCTATATGCGCGACACTAAATGCACCTGGTTGCTTATGCATTTGATTGTTAAAACATAAAATTCAGAGACCACCACTACAATTTGTATCCTCCTTAAAACTCAAATACATTTCCTGGTATTAGAGTTGGTTGCTTCTACAACAGCAATGTAGTATACTTTTTTTCGCTAAAGAACATTTCAACTTGCAAGTGGCAGTTTTCAACCAGATAGTAGGATTCCTAAAGGGAAAAGAAATTACAATATCTATTCAAAGTGATATGTACCAAAAAAGTAAAAATAAAAAAATCAAGTCAAAGTGGCTTTTCACCTAAGTACTTTACAGATATAAAATATATGTATCATTTATGTTAACCATCATAACTAGATCTCGATAAAAGAACTATTACAACAAAATAACTGAAGACTAAACAAATAATACTCAGATGCAAAAAATATATGCCCCCAAGCACTACCACCTAGAAAGCTTTTGGTGATAACTAAATAAAAGATCCCCCCCATATAACAAACCATCCAATTTCTTTAGGTGTCAACAACCAAGCATAAAAGTTACAGCTTAATACTACATACGAAGCAACATTAATAATGAGAGATATACATGGGAAAGAAAATCTCTTATACTGCATTCTTAATATTCAAATGAACAATCGTACAACCAATGTATACTCACC